TGGGACCGTGGGTGATGATAAGAGGGGGGTGATGATGGAACTGTGTCGATGGCAGGGCTGTGAGTGACAGTGGGACAAGGACGATGGCAGCCTGTGATGATGACAATGGTKGGGCTGTGGGTGACAGTGTGACAATGGTGATGGCAGCCCACAATGATGATGGTGATGGTGGGGCTTCGGTGATGGCAGCCTGTGACAATGACAGTGGCGGGGCTGTGGGTGACAGAGGGACAGTGGCAATGGTGGGGCTTTGAGTGACCGTGTGACAATGACAGTGGCAGCCTGTGATGATGACACTGGCAGGGCTGTGGGTGACAGTGGGTCCATGGCGATGGCATCCCCTGATGATGATGATGGCGATGGTGATGGCGGGGCCATGACAGCAATGGGGCTGTGGTGACACTGTGCCCGTGGCGATGGCAGCCCCTGATGATGATGGTGACAATGACGATGGTGATGGTGGGGCCATGGCAGCAATGGGGCTGTGGGTGACAGTGTCACGATGGCAATGGCATCCCCTGATGATGATGGCAATGGTGATGGCAGGGCCATGGCAATGACAGGGCTGTGGGTGACACTGTGCCCGTGGCGATGGCAGCCCCTGACAGTGCCGGTGACGATGGCGATGGTGATGGAGGGGCCATGGCAGCGATGGGGCTGTGGTGACACTGTGCCCGTGACAGTGCCGGTGACGATGGCGATGGTGATGGCGGGGCCATGGCAGCGATGGGGCTGTGGTGACACTGTGCCCATGGCGATGGCAGCCCCTGACGGTGCCGGTGACGATGGCGATGGCAGGCTGCCCACCCCGGCGCCTCGGTCGGCGGCAGATGCCGCGGGAGCCCCCGCGCCCGCCCGCCCGCCATGGCCTACTTCTGGTCTCCATGGCAACTGCCCATTTCACGGTGCCCGAGCCGCACAAAGCCCTGGCTGTGCTGTGCTGATGGGGACAGCGCGGGGACAATGGCGGGGGGGCCGTGCTGGCCCCCTCCTCCACCCTCCCGGGCTCCATCGGGGGGCACAGGGACACCCCGGCCCCGCTACCTGCGGCTCCGGCGGCTGCGCCTTGTCCTGCGCCTCCATCAGCTCCTTGTCGATCTGCTCCAGCCGGGACGCGCGGATCTGGGGGGGAAGAGGGGCTTGGAGAGGGCTGGGACACCCCAGGGACATAAAACATGGGAGGGAGGGGTGTAAGTGTGCAAGGAACGGGGTGTGAGGGGGTGGTGTAGGGTGTGAGGAGCTGGTGTAGGGCATGAGGAGAGGTGTAGGGTATGAGGGGCGGGTGTAGGGTGTGAGGAGAGGGTGTAGGGCATGAGGAGAGGGTGTAGGGTATGCAGAGTTGGTGTAGGGTGTGAGGGGCTGGTGTAGGGCATGAGGAGAGGGTGTAGGGTATGCAGAGTTGGTGTAGGGTGTGAGGGGCTGGTGTAGGGCATGAGGAGAGGGTGTAGGGTATGCAGAGTTGGTGTAGGGTGTGAGGGGCTGGTGTAGGGCATGAGGAGAGGGTGTAGGGTATGCAGAGTTGGTGTAGGGTGTGAGGGGCTGGTGTAGGGCATGAGGAGAGGGTGTAGGGTATGCAGAGTTGGTGTAGGGTGTGAGGGGCTGGTGTAGGGCATGAGGAGAGGGTGTAGGGTGTGAGGAGCTGATGTAGGGTGTGAGGGGCTGGTGTGGGGTGTGAGGAGTTGGTGTAGGGTGTGAAAAGCGGATGTAGCGTGTGAGGAGATGGTGTAGGGTGTGAGGAGAGGGTGTAGGGTGTGCAGAGTTGGTGTAGGGTGTGAGGAGCTCGTGTAGGGTGTGAGAAGCAGATGTAGAGTGTGAGGAGCTGGTGTGGGGTGTGAGGGGCTCGTGTAGGGTGTGAGGAGTGGGTGTAAGATGTGAAAAGCTCCTCCTGGGGGTGCCCAGGGTTGATCCCATAAATCCGGGACCCCCAGGGGCAGAACAGGGAGGTTTTGGGGTGCAGGACCCCACCTGTGCCCGCTGCACCATCTCGTCGGCCGTGCCGAAGCGCTCCTCCATCAGCGAGCGGATGTGCTGCGCCTCRAACTGCAGCTGCTGCCGGATCAGATCCATCTGCATGGAGAACTGGGGGGACAGGGGGGGCAGCCATCAGCGGGGCGGGGTCCCGGGGTTCTGGGGGGACAGGGGGTGACCCCAACTCACCGTCTCCACGTGGGGCAGCTCGTCCAGCCGCGTTGCCAGGCTCTGCAGCTGCGCGTAGTACCAGACCTTCTCCTTCTCCTCCTTCTCGATCTCCCCCAGCAGGAAACACCTGGGGAAGGGGGGACCCGGTCAGCACAGCCCCTGCCACCCCCGCTTTGTCCCCCTTTGTCCCCAGGCGGTCACCTCTCGCGGTCCAGCTCCTCCAGCATGCGGAAGGTGGCCCTGCCCAGCTCTCCGGGGCAGTCCCGCGGGGCCGGCGGGCTCTCCTCGCTGCCGCGCCCGGAGCTCGGTGCCTCCGGGGCGAACTTGAGGTTGTAGAGGCTGCTGATGTCCATCTGCAGGGCTGAGGGCACGGGGACAGCGCTGTCAGGGTGGGTTTGGAGGGGCTCCTCCCGCTGCCCACCGTGCCCGGGCACCCACCTTTGAGCTGGTCCAGCACCTCCGTCTGCCCCGAGGACACCATCACTCGGGCCTCCTGCTCCAGCTTGCCCTGGAGGTGCTTCAGGACCTCCTAAAACAGGGATGGAGCCGTTGAGGAGGGGGAGATGCGGATGGAAACCCCCCCGATCTCGGGGTCTGCGCCCACCTTCATGTCCGASGTCTCATTTTCCAGCTTGGAGAGGTGGTTGGAGTTGTCCTCCAGCTCCCGCCGGAGGTGGCTGTTCTCCTTCTTCAGCGCCTCCACCTGCCGCACCAGCTGATCGTACGAGGCGATGGAGCCGGACATCTTCACCTCCTCCAGAGCCTGGAGAGGGTGCGGGGGGTGGGCAGCACCTCGGGGGGCTCCGCTGCACCCTCAGAGCCCCCCGGCGCCCACCGCCTCGCTGGGAGCACAACACAGCGCTGGGCACCCCACCACCCGCACCCCCCG